TCAACTGCGCGGCATACGATCGTCACATCTTCTCATTTATTAGTGAAGCTTTGCAATATGAAAATTTGTAAAAAATAAATTTTTTCAACATTCGTTGACCTCAGATGATAGTTTTTGTTTTGACTCGCCTACAGTGGTGTGACCAAAGGTTATGCGTCGAGGCTAAAGGACTGCGGGTCGTGGCTAAAGCATTGCGGGTTTTGGCTAAAGGAATTTAGGTCAAGGCTAAAGGAATGTGGGTTTTGGCTAAAGGATTGTGGGTTTTGGTTAAAAGATTGCGGGTCGAGGCTAAAGGATTGCGGGTTTTGGCTAAAGCTTGATGGGAAAAGGTGTAGTAATATTCTGGTAGAAAGTTTCTAGTAAGCCATAAAGTGCTATGAAATAATAAACCGCACAACATGCTCACGAGGTTTGCCACTGTATCGACACACGTGTTTGATGGTTGTAAGTATGAGTTTTAAGTCTTTGATTAAAAGACCCGGAAAAATAATTGGGGATGCATAAAGCCATTGGGGAAGGATACAAGAGAAAACAAAACGCTTTAATAAGTGAGTTGTGGTAGATAGCATTTTCAAATGAATAATGTAAAAGGTGAGTTTTCTGACTTTGTGTAATGTCTCGATGACCAAGAAAGATCGCGAGAAGTGGCAACTGCAAGATATTTGACGGAGCACCCTCTAAAAACTTGTTCTCCATTGATAATTACATGCTGCTAAGAGTTAATCACATCAATATGTTGATAACCCTTCAGCAAAGAAAATAAAACATCATTACACTTGGAAGTATTCATTCTAAGATTGTGTTGTGAAGACCAGTCAGTGAGCAGTGAGATATTCTGCATAAGTTTGGGATGCATGGAGGAACTTGAAAACTTCATGCTATGCACAACATCATCGGCATACCTAATGAGCAAACAATCATCAAAAGCGGGCATGGAAGAAATGTAGGTTATGAAAAAGAAGGGAGTATAATACCTTGAAGAACTGCTTGAGTGGAGGGTAAAAGTGAAGAGTTACAACCCTTATATTTAGTAAACTGTAATCGATGGGTGAAATAATTAGGGAACAGATTGGTACGCTCCGACTGAATACCTTTCTCAGAGAGAGTGTGAAAAAATTTGGACTTATCAAAATTAAAGGTATCACTTTAATCAAAGAAACATACCCGAACAGTTTTAATAATTCGCATATTGGCAATGTATCGGGCATAAAGCTTTTCTTAACTTGATCATCAGTTCTGCGTGTGATGCGTTTTTTGCTTTGTGTACAAGTATGTGTTGCCTAAGATCAAAAACCATTCTAAATATGAGAGATTTAATGTTCACTCTGATGGAGCTTAACGCATTTATTGAGCTACGGCATTATGATGATTCTATGAACGAGGTCATTGAACTTACTACAGAGCGATCGATGTGAATTTCAATTGATTTCGGGTTACGATTCCGTCCGATCATTTACATAACAGAAAAAACATCTTTTATTCAATGATAAATAAAACCAAATAAAACAGATGGGACCACGTAATAATTAAGATATTGAGAAAGCTGATTCAGAACGTTGGAACGCAAGAAACGTCGTGGTCAAGCAATGCGAGCGATACATAAAAACAACAGGTTAAAATGACCATTTTCTAAGGGGGGGGAGTTGAGAATAGTCTGAACTTTCCAGTTTCAAAACACAGAAACAAAAACAACTAGTATGACCACTCGGCGGACGGTAAAGATTCCTTGAATGAACGTCTGTCATCGAAACGGTTGCTTTCTGTAGGCATCGATGTAGATCAGTGTGAAGTGATAGCATGTGAAGCGGAGAAGCAAAGTTGCATCGACGAGTGACAAACGCAACGCATGAGTTTGGAACCCTCAAGATAAAGATGGACAAACGAAAGTAGTGCAGTAACATTGCTGTTTGACGGATTTTTATTAGCCAGTTAAGGAGCTTTGATTCTGATGGGAAGAGTGCTTTTCTTGTCAGTAGAGGGGATCACGACTATTTCGAAATGGTTATTGATGTTAAATGATAAACTGAATCCTGTGCAAAAAACAGAGATCACTATTTTTCTTCAAGGAGGCTTCACTGTCTGGGAACACTGGTATTATACCAGTTGAATGATTGCAAGTGAAAATTAGAAACTCGCCACAGGAAGTTTGCTGTCTCGTTGATGGGACAAATTTTAATCCCACTTCGAACCGTGAGTTTCATATCGAAGGAAAATTATCCGAAACTTGAGGACCGAAAACCCAGGCGGAACTGAGGACAGTGCTTGCTAGCTGTTGGAAACATAGGGCTCAAGGTTCGATGTCAAACCTTGTCGATACCATGTACTTGATCTATGAAGTACATATTCGGCCAACATATAAAACTCTCCATAACCAAAAACCTCAAATATGTGTGTCATGCTGCTCAGAATGTTTTACTAACTTACTAATTCTCAAGACTCTACGGAAACCATTTCAGGAACTATACATTTCTGATGAAAAGTGGATGGAAACAAGTGCGAGTTTCTTCTCATCTCTCTAGTGTGGTATTTCTTTCGTCTGTGGCCAGCAGGTATTATGTAAAAAAATAATGTCCCTGAATAATCCGATTTTAACACGTTTGTCGTCAGAGTTCGTTCAGAGAAACTTCTTTCCAGTTAAATATTTACTCTTCTAATGACAAAGGTAATTAAATCCCAAAGGCAGCCATTATCAGCAATATATATATATATATATGAAATCTAAATTAGCCATTGAACGAAGCAGTTTCCGTAGTTTTCTTGGAACCACTGTGAAACATGATAGGTGTACGAAACGAGCCATCAGCATATGGACAATGATACAAAATGCAGACCAGACTGCATGTTTAATAAATGGACAGGGAATACCAATTTGAAGTACCTGGATAAAAACAAATCATGAGTCTTGAACCGAAGTTTTCGTACACTGAACCAGTAAACTGATGGCTGGTTCATTCTTACTGAAGATCAACATTCAGCAATTCACAATGCAGGCTGAACCTATTTCAGAACAGACAAATCCGGGGCTACTCAAAGAATAAGAATATACGCTCCCTTAATCATGCGTGGTGGCGCAGCGGTTTAGTCACTGTCACTGACGTGCTTTGGACCCCATGGTTCGAGGTTCGAGCCCCGCCACTGCTACCCAACTTCGGTGGTAGGAAGCTCTGCAGTTGTCCGATTCAATACCACGTCCAAACTATCGGAGCCTTATATGGTTCACCACTCCAAGTTCAGGGACTTAGGTTACCGGTTTCCGTCTCTGAACAACAGGTCTTCCTGACTATGGGGTTCTAACCCGTCTAGTGTTCACCACACAATTGTATATATAGTAAAAACTGCATACCCAGGTACTTGTAGTAAGTGTAAACATGTGAATATTCCTGTTCAAATGTGAAATGAACCCTTCCCAGAAAAAACGCTGCAGATGTGTTAACATTTTGCTATGTAATACTCGACCCGAATGTACTGAGAGTGGATAACTGTTCATTAACTTATCACCCTCGGGGATTTTTTTATCGAATCCCACTACGGCGACCGTAGCTTGACTACTACTGATGTGAGATACTACTCACTTGTGAGTAGTACGCGAAAAGATGCGATCAGAGGTTTCTTTGAACGACCAAGAATAAACAGGACCGATTGGAGCAAAATGCTGATGTTCAGTATGGTGAATACAATAATGCGCATCTAATAGTGAATCGCTCCATCAACTATCCTGTGTGCGTGTGGGAATTCTACAACCTTATTCCAAATGAGATATTTTGTTGTATGAATGACAACTCAAGCGTATCCTGACTGTTATTGACAATGGGCAACTATCCTCGACCAGGCACCGCCTTGTGGGATTATTACACTGCCACCCCAATAGGACAACTCCAAGCGCATTGATATTTGAAATGAGAATTAAATGTTAGTCATGAGCGGACTCCTGGTTTTTCCCATAAGAATAAAAAAACGTATCCTTTGGGATGCATAAAATCATTCCAATTAGCCTAATTTAAAACTCTGCGTAGGACGTACCATTGGGTAGTTTTTCTTTGAGTTACCTCAACGCTTTACAAAAGATATTCCCGTTACCGGAACCTACATATAATTGATAGTTTCGGCTGGTAAATAATCCAAACCTTTACGGACTCTATAAATGTCACAGAATATCTTTATTCAGGGATGAATCTGTTCGGTAGATCAAACCTCTCAAAGCCAAAAGGAATGTCGAGCTAAAGATACTTTTGGCGATGAGACTCACAATAAAAGTGCCAATATAGGTTTTGCTTGGACGGCCTAGCCACAGCGCATCACTGTTCAACAATCAGGTCGTCGCACTGTTGAACTGTTGAACGCGAACCTTTTGGATTGCGCGGTTCATTACAACTGTGAGCTATACCGCTTCCGTGCGAGTAACACTGGCACAAACAAGCGATTGCAAGTTTAGCTAGGTGAAGAGAAGGATGAAAGCAACATACCAGTGCGATTGGTCGTTCGGATCAGAACCCGAGGACGGACGGTTTGGAACAGGTTCACAGAGCTCAGTCCGAGCGCTTGGAAGTTGCAAACATCTTTGAACGGGGTATCACGTTTATGACTGTAGGCTGAAATAAGGAGGTAAACCGCGGAGGTAGGGAATTTACGGTCGTGTGAATGGAATCAAACCGGCACAAAAGATGATTGA